GTTCAATGGGTATATGGGCAAACACAGAGAACATGATCAAGTGCTGTATGTATTCCATTCCTTGCAGTTAGTGATGAGATAATGAAATCAGGCATGGCTGATCATGTATGTAGTGAAAAGAGTGATCACGAATCCGTTTGAAATTAAATAAAAATACGAGACAGAGAGAAATACTGGGGAAGCAGAAGTCTGAATAAATCAGCGGATATATTCCTCAATATCACCGGGTGCTCTTAATAAAGAAAGAGAAAAACAACAGGGGGAGGATCAAGCTTCACAGGAAGGCCGCACAGCAATAGCACCAGCAGAAAATAAGGACATTAGGTTTAAGGCTTCAAGTTTTAATAGTGGAGAAGATTACAGCGGCGTTTTGTGGATTTGGTGGCATAGTAGTTGTGAGTTCAACACTTGGGCTGGGTAGTACAGACGCAGAAACAGTACTAGCAATCACTGAGCAGTACTTGAAAAAAAAGCTGTGATATCAATACCCAAACTACACTAGTAAATTAAATAAAAGGCTTAGTTGTAAATTCCCTGAAGTTTACCTGAAAAGGGCCGGAGAGCAGAATGGCCGAAACATAAATATAATAGCATAGATAAAGACTGTAAATGAAGTAAACATTTATAACAATCATTATAATGCTTGAGGGGGATATGAAGCACCCAGATGAAAACAGAACAAAAGCATGAAACTTGGGCAGTTTATCAAAAATATTCAGGGCTTACGTCCTGGGTATGACGATAAACTACATCCGGCAGCAAGGTCTCTGATCGGGAGATTTGAGGTTTTGAGGAGCGTGGAACCATCTCTTAATTACAATTGTTCCCAGAGCCACTCTGACCCGGGGTGGTAGCACCAGTTAAGGTCCCAGCTATGAGCAACTATTTAAACCACCAAACCGGGGTCAAAACACTATGAAAGTGTAGAAATGGATTTTTGTAGTGAAATTCTTAGCAAGACATTTTTGAAAACAAAAATATTGCCAGCAATACATTTGACTGTCGACAAAAACCCGATGTACAAAAAATACATCAATGAAACCTGATCGACAAACTAATTTCTTACAAGGAATATATATTCGAGCCATACGAACTTCTAAAAATCTTGTCGGTTTTAAATAACCCACTGAGATGTTGACATGCCGTAAAACAAAATAAACCCAAACGCTGATTTACAAGGTGATTTCTTACAAAGAATAAATATTTTATTTATACAAATCTATAGTAAAAATCTTGCCGGTATTAAATAACACAGGTCGACATTTTTTCGACCCGGATGTTGTTCGGCGATGGAGACATGTTTCTGGGATATTTTTTTCCACGTTTAATCTGAAAATCAAATCCATTTTTTCTCCATCACATCGCGTTTTCTCAGTACAGATCATTTCTATTTTTTCTTAAAATAGGCCAAAATAGCCATTTAACAGTGATATGCCAGTGCCAAGTAGAACGAACCTTAAACATTTTCAGGCTAGAACAACTTATCATAAAAGAAAAAGCATCCCAATAACTTAAAGAATTCATTTTCAGCATTTTCAGTCCAGAAAAAGTTTTCAGAAAAATCTCACACAAAATTAAATTAAGGCAAACATGGTGTCATCAATTTTTGAATCAAAACAAAGATACAAAGGAATGAAAAATACATTCATTTCTGTCCATCCAAAGGTAAAAATTCTCTCTTCTTGGAAATTCTACGGTGTTTTTGAAAAGGTTGATATCTTTTGATGTTCCAACAGAAATCAGCCATCATGTTAACATCCCATCTGCAAAGTGCCTAGATGGCTATCTCTATCTAGTGTTTGGCGGCTATTTTAAGCGCTATAAAGAAAATTCTAATCTTGCTATTCTCAAATACACTCGCCTAACACCCTAACAACCCTCATTTATCGATGTTCCTATGCATGTTATACAGAGATTGCATGACAATACCAGACATCCGTAAATTCAAGTGATGTGATAAAATCTTATGCCGGTTTCAGGCTTAAAGTGAAGACTACTAATAAAAACTAAAATGGCTGTTCTTAAATGACTTCTAAAGAGCTTCTTCTATGAAAAGTAGAGAAGAAACACAAATCACAGTTTTAACAAGCTAAGAACATTAAGAGCACAAAAACATTTTTCAGTGAGACATCTCTCATAAAAACAAACATTTTCAGGTCAGCTTATCTGAACTGAAATAACTTAGAATTCATTTTAGAAGTTATTTGGATATTTTTTTTCTTGAACGATAAACCATTTTAATACGAAACGAGAATGTTTCAACTATATCACTCGCATATTTAAGCCGTGGCATATCCATGTGAATTGGGCATTTTGGCCTATTTGAAGCAAAATAGAAAATATCTGTACTGAGAAAACAGGATATGGCAAAATGGACTTGATTTTCAGATTCAGCGTGAAAAAAAAACAGCCCAAAAATATATGCCCATTGCCCAACAACATTTGGGTCGAAAGAAAGGTCAACCGGTGTAATCCATTGAGGTTAATGTGCCGTAAAACAAAATAAACCAAACGAAACCAAATCCACATTTCAATGTGGATTTGGTTTCGTTTGGTTTATTTTATTTTATATCGGTTCCTTTCCAATCACCGAAGTTAAGCAACGCCGAACCATTTCTTTGAAGAAAAGATTTTCTGTAATTAGAAAATTGAAGTCTTGGTATAATATTGTCACTAATTGATTGTGTGATTAACACTTGTCATTGCGTGTAAATTATTTCAAAATCAAAAGTTATTTACTCGCATGATCTTCCGTAGTACAATTTGCAACTGTTCTAAAATGATGAGGACGTTACTTACACGGAAAGTTTACAAAATTCAAGAAACATTGTACTTATCCTTGTTTATGTATGTCATTATGCACGAGATAGTGTGTGAGTGAACAAGTGAGAAGGGAACAACATTTTAGGAAATTCGGCCAAACGGGACGCAGTTTGCTCATGACTGCTATAATCGGACATTTTATTTTACGTTTTTCTCCTCTCTCTCTCTCTCTCCCCCCTCTCTCTCTCTCTCTCACACACACACACACACACACTCTATCTATCTATCTATCTATCTTTCTTTCTCTCGTACTCTTTTTTCACTCTTCCTCTCTCTGTTTCTCTGTTTCTCTCTCCCTCACTTTCTCCCTCTCTTTCTCCTTCTCTCTCTTCCTCTCTCTTTCGCTCTCTCTCTCTCTCTATCCCTACACTCTCCCTCACCCTCTCTTTCTTTCTTCATCTATGTTTCTCCCTCTCCCGACCTCTACTTCTCTCTGTTTCTTCCTCTCATTCTTTTTCTGTGTCTCTTTCTCCCTCCTCTCTTACTCTCCTTATCCCTCCTCTTTCTCTCTCTCTTTCTCTCTCTCTTTCTCCTCCTATATTTCTCTCCACCTTTCTCTTCCTCTTCATTTCTCTCTTCCTCTTCTTTCTCCTACCCACCCCCCTCTCTCTCTCTCTCCCTTTCTCCCCCTCTCTCTCTCTCTCTCTCTCTCTCTCTCTGTCTTTCATGTCCCCATTCTTCTCTATCATTGCTCTCCGAACTAAAAGTTGAGGGACAGCGAAAATAACTCTATCATCCAAATTTTTTTTATTTTACTTATTGTCCCGGTGTGCTTCCCTCTTTGGTGCCTCGATTTCATGGACTTAAATGTTATACTAGATTAGCAGTTAGGTCTCATTATTTTACAGTTGAAATTGCTAGTTGCAACCATAAGTTATATTCTAATAATTTCTTCTCTTGCAGTTCTCGTCTGTGAAACTTCCTTCCGGCTTCTTGCATTTATCAACTTTTTATTCTTCTATTTGCTCTGTGTGTCCCTTGAGGACGTTGACGATCATGGCTCTCCATAATTTCCTTTCCTTTGTAGCTCTTTTTAACACCCCTCAAACCCTACTCCATCTATCCGCTCAAGCTTGCCAGGTAAGTTGTACGTTGCTTTCCTCTGCTCCTCTTACTTTCAATATGCCCTGTGAGTATCAAAATTTCCAAGCCCTCTTTTCTCATTATGTGCCTCAGAAATATCAACTGTCTCTTTCTGATGTTAAATATAAATTTAATTTTTGATGGCATTGTCTCTAAAACTTCGTCGTTGCTCACATGTTCGATCCTTGATATTTTTCGGTATCTGTCTGTAAAACCTGCTTTCTGTTTTTTTAAGTCTCTTCATCTTTGAGGAGAATGTCCAGCATCCACTGCCATATTGGAGACATAACAGTTCAGTCCTCTTTTTCTTAGTTTCTAATGATATTTTTTATGTTTCTTAATACTTTGCTAAGCTTTTGGAAAGCATCTTTCGCGCCTTCGAATTTCCACGTCGCATTCTCCGTCCACTGTTAATATTCCTCCCTGGTATCTAGATTCGTGCACCTGCTTAAATTCGGTATCCTTAATTTATATGCTTCTTTTTATATTCAGTCTTCATGTAATTGGTGTTTAGTCCTTTCTTCTCGCTTTCCTTCACTACTGTTATATACCGTACCTATGAATACTAATGGATATGTCCCAATCCTCATAAAATACGTTGGACACTATTGTAATTGGAGCAATATTCTGTCTAAGTAGTGCTCCACTAGCAGTGGTTTACTTACTTCACGGCGCTGGCGAGTATTTATTTTGTTGATATTATAAAGATTACCATTTCATTTCCAACCTCCGTTTTGGTTATTCCTCATTCAGTAACCCTTCATAGGTTACAACAACTACATTCTGTAGTTTTCTTTATGAACTTCAAAAATTTAAATGCAACCTCAACCGCCATCTTCTGTCTCCTTGAATCTCATTTTTTTATTGCCCTTTCTGTTCAATAACGTTTCTCAGATCCTTTATCTCAGTAACGATCATGAATCTTAGTGGCTTTATGGCCTTGCATGATGTATAATAATTTAAAAATAACATAAAAATAGAAAACTAAAAATGGCGGTGAGCGTATATAGTGTACTTGGGACAGAATGAAATGAGAAAACAACGCCATGAAGCGATGCAGGAGCAAAGAGAAGAATAAAAACATCGAGCCGTGTTTATTGTGGAAGGGTGGGGGGCGAAGAACATGAAAAGTAAAATGGCGTCGATGGGTAGAGGAGAGAAAGAGAGGTGTGAGGAGAGCAGGGTGGTGGTGGTGATGTTGGTGGGGAGGGCATGCAAATGAGATTGCAAAGAGTTTGAGACGTTGCGATAACGCCCTGATTAACGATGGTGCTCTCGTCTGCCCCTAGGGATTGCTGCATTTTGACGGCTGGATCGGGTTTCCCGTGCCGGTCATCGCAGGGGCGACGACACGTAAGGCGGGTTGACACAGAGACGCGTGCACAAGCACTGATATTCAAGCACGTGGTCGCACACACACACACACACACATACATTAAATAAGTTTCCATACATTAATCCTTACTACATACGTACATAAGCACCCATAGACGAATATGTAAGAAGCATCAATATAGACATATATATATATATATATATATATATATATATATATATATATATATATATATATATAATGGTTTTGAGGTATGCTATATTTATGGGATAAAGTGCTCAATATCAGAGATAGAGCGTATATAAATATAAAAGTGAACATTGAAGTCCGCACTCATAGGCGTTAGACTGTTTCATGCTAAACGCAATCATATATATATATATATATATATATATATATATATATATATATATATATGGTGAACTCTCTTGTCGTATTCGACGTATGAGGGTCAAGCAGCTCAGTTTCTAGGAACCGAAAGTCAGATACGATTTAATTATAGTGGTGAAGGCTTTATGCAGCACCAACCCCATTTTTGAAGGGCCGAATAGAAATAGTGCACTACGGCCCTCCGCAGGTTTTGAATTCAGAATTTTCCTTCTCCTAGACCAGTTGCCATCCAAGGGTATAGAACCCAGTCTGTCTTGCTATTTACCCATAACTGAAGGAGAGAGGATTCATGCCTTTTCTAAGGGAATCTAATGGATTCAACTGTAATTCGAACTCGGCTCTACGATTCCTCAATCCGAGCCCTAACCTCTAATATATATATATATATATATATATATATATATATATATATATATATATATATATATATATATATATATATATTAGTGGTTAATATACATATATATGTATATATCTAAATTATATAAATATATATATACATACATACATACGTACACATACATATATATGTAAAAAAATTCCAAGAGGATAGAATCCAGGTAGAACACAATGTCCAGGACAGAGTAAGGATGTAATAAAAAGGCTCAAACCCTAATATTCCATGGTTATAATTTATTACATTGGAATCGTAAATACGATGCAATTCATCAGACCTACAAATTCAAAAAAAATCGGGAAAAATAACTCTGGGAATAACAAATAAAATTTAGTGAGAGTGTATGTATGAGAGGGGGGGATAAATGTGAGAAGTAAATGAAAGCTATAGAGAGGGGGTAACAAATGAGAGAAGAACAGGAAGGCCTAAAGGTGAAGGTGGGGGATTAAAATTTAACAGATAGAAGTTTTAAAGGGAGGAGTTAAATGACGGTTTATTTTTTATTCCCGGAGTTATTTTTTCTGATTTCTTTTTGAATTTGTAGGTCTGATGAATTGAATCGTGATTAAGATTCCAATGTAATAAATTAAAACCATGGAATATAAGTGTTTGAGCCTTATATATATATATATATATATATATATATATATATATATATATATATATATATATATATATAATTTATTCGAAAATCCGAGCCGCTACTCACTACACCACTGTGCTTCCTTTTATATATATATATATATATATATATATATATATAGGAGAGAAATAAACAACATAATATGGGCATATAAACGCATTCATATTCTCTCTCTCACTCTCTCTCTCTCACACACACACACACACAGAGACAGAAACGGACACATACATAAACATACATACACATTGGTTAATTGATTTGTTTTTTACGACTTATCAAGCTTTTTTCATGCCAAAATTTTTTTTTTGATTGTAAGAATTTTTGGCAATAATAATGAATTTTACTTATATAACTCCTACTAATTAGCCTATAGCTGGCGGGGGAAGCAGTGGCTTCATGCCTTTCCCAAGGGCATTTGAGTGTAAGTGAATATAACGAACTGTAATTGGAAGTCGGGGAGTTCCTATTCCGAGCCGTTATCAATTACGCCACCCGCACATCCAACGTGGTATTCTAGGTGCTGATCAGGTTCGACGTTTGCTTAACGTCGGTGGTCGTTAGAGAAACAGTGTTTCAATTGTATATGTCCGGAAAATCACAGACATACATAAACACATAACCTATACACACAGATAAACAAACAAAGAAAGAAAGAAAGAAAGAAAGAAAGAAAGAAAGAAAGTGAAAGCGGGAGAAAAAAAGAAAGGGATAGAGAAATAAATAGAAAGAAAGAAAGAAAGAAAGAAAGAAAGAAAGAAAGAAAGAAAGAAAGAGAAATAAATAAAAAAAAGAAAGCGAGAGAAAAAGAGAGAGAAATAAATAAAAAGAAAAAAGAACGAAAAAATTAAGTGAAAGAAAGAAAGAAAGAAAGAAAGAAAGAAAGAAAGAAAGAAAGAAAGAAAGAAAAAGAAAGAGAGAAAGCGGGAGAAAAAGAAAGAAAGGGTAGATAAATAAATAAAAAGAAAAGAAAGAAAAAAATGAAGTGAAAGAAAGAAAGAAAGAAAGAAAGAAAGAAAGAGAAAGCGGGAGACAAAGAAAGGGATAGAGAAATAAATGGAAAGAAAGAAAGAAAGAATGAGAGAGAGAAATAAATAAAAAGAAATAAATAAAACGAGAGAAAGAGAGAGAGAAATAAATAGAAAGAAAGAAAAAATGAAAAAATAAAGTGAAAGAAAGAAAGAAAGAAAGAAAGAAAGAAAGAAAGAAAGAAAGAAAGAAAGTGAGAAAAAAGAAGTAAAGAAAGAAAGAAAGAAAGAAAGAAAGAAAGAAAGAAAGAAAGAGAAAGCGGGAAACAAAGAAAGAAAAGGATAGAGAAATAAATGGAAAAAAAGAAAGAAAGAAAGAGAGAGAGAGAAAGAAAGAAAATGAAAGAAAGCGAGAGAAAGAGAGAGAGAAATAAATAAAAAGAAAGAAAGAACGAAAAAATAAAGTGAAAGAAAGAAAGAAAGAGAATGTGATAAAGAAAAAAAGCGAGAAAGAAAGAAAGATAGAAAAAGAGAAAGGAAAAAGAAAGAGAGTAAATGAGAACCAACATTGACACAGAAATCATCAATGCATGGTCGAATGATTGCTTAAGGCGTAAAATTGCCATGCAAAGTTAGATTTCTCTCCTCGCGCTGATTTTTTATCTACATACCCCTACCCTCTCTATTGATCTCTCTTCCCTCATGACCAGAGCAAATTCTCAGCCACATATACGTGCCTATGCACATAGACAATAAATCAATAAGCGTTGTATGAAGTGACTCTAGAGTTTCATATTGAACCACCAGTTACAATCAAATAATCAGATAAATAATATATATATATATATATATATAAAAACATAATTCTGAGATTGAGTTATTGTAACTCTTTACACTATTTACATCGTTCGGACAGTTGTCCTCATCTTTATTACTATATTCACGATGTTTCGGTTATTTTCCGCTCCGGCCTTCTTCAGATGATATACATTAGAATTTCGAACTGAACACTTTATTTAGTCCACGGGGGTATATTGTTCTAATTCCACGTGCCATGCCTTTTCTGGATATCTCAGTTTCAGTTATTTCACTTTAGTAACTCAACTCTTCAAGTTTTTGTTCACCTCTGCTGTGGCCGGGTATTGAACTCACAACGATTTGGGACAAGTCACTTTTTGGATTACTCAACCAATTCTTTTACCCCCAAGAACACGTGGCGAAGTGGATAAAAGCATCGGTTGAAATAACCCAAAATAAGTGATAGGCATTCTGAGTTCCTGGCCACAGGAGAGGGAACAAAATCTTGGAGAGTTCAGTTGCTAAAAAGGGAGGAAATACGTGATATTAAGATATAAAAAAAACATGGAATTATTTTCTGAAAATTTTCCAATGAAAAAAGACGAAACTCAGTGTAGAAACAAGTTAAGTGAACGTTTGATTTTATTAATTACACACACTCTTTATCTCTCTCTTTTCTCCCTCTCTCTCTCTCTCTCTCTCTATATATATATATATATATATATATATATATATATATATATATATATATAGTTTATGCAAAACTAGGTAATCCGTATGGGTAGACCCAAGGAGGATGATATCCAGAGAGCTCAATGTAAAATCAGAGCAAATAAATTTGAATAAAAACAGACCACTTTAAGATTCCATTTTTTTTTTTTTTTTTTTTTTTTTTTGATTTCAACCTTTGGAAGTAAAGTCTGATGATCCAGAACCCATTTAAAAGGGCTATGGTGAAATAATTTATTACATGGAATCTTAAAGTGGTCTGGTTTTTATTAAATATATATATATATATATATATATATATATATATATATATATATATGAAATGTGTGAAAAGTGTATATAAATATAAATAAATATATATATGTATAATTATTTATATATTATATGCGCGGTACTTATTAGAAAGCGCTCAATATCAGAGATAGAGCTAACATATTTGGTTGGATAGATGTGAGTTTGTGACCCTGGGTTTCACGCTTTAGCGATCGTCAGACAAACTCTCAATGCTTTGGGTTTGTCTGACGATCGCTAAAGCGTGAAACCCAGGATCACAAACTCACATCTATCCAACTAAATATATATATATATATATATATATATATATATATATATATATATATATATATATATATATATATATATATATATATATAGGTAACTACATTCGCCACTACTTCTAGTTGTAATTGTAGGAACAAAAAATCTGTCCCCTACAGGGAATATGTCAACAGGAGTGTGTGGTTTACCAGGTTAAAATTTACAAGGACATAGATGACTGCAACAACGATATAAACTCTAATGTCAAAATTGTGGTCAGTTTCGTTACGGAGAGAAACTAATGCGTTTAATATGTTGATTTTTTTTTTTTTTTAATGTCTCTTTTTTGTTCATATAACCTTTTATTTAAACTTGTTGAAGTTTCTCCAATATATTCTTTTTAACAATCATTCCACGTGATAGAGCAAATCACCATTCAAGTTTTGGTTCGATGTTTTGTTTTGTATTGATTAAGTCTTTTATATTTGTAGATGTAGTTGTGACAAATTTTATGCTGAGTCTACATAAATTATTTTCGGTTGTAGTTACGATAGAGTTAATAGGTAGAACAATTTTTTTTTTGTATTTTGGAATATTTTATGAGCATTCTGTTTCGCATTGAATAAGAAATAGGGTATTGGAGGATCTTGAATATTTCAATATATTTCTCCTCTTCGTGTAAATATTGAGGGCTGCACATTCTGAGTGATCTTAAATAGAATCCCGATGATTATTCCGAATTTTGTTGTTATGATGAGAATAAAAATTTAATAGGCCCATGTTTATTAGTTGATTTTTCGGTGGACACTAAGTTTTAAGCTATTGTCAACGTGCTGTAGCATGATTTCTAAGAAAGGTAAAGTATTATTTTCTTTCATTTGACGAAAAATAGAAATCACCACGACATTCGATACATACAAACATACTCAAACACACACAAAAGAAAAAAATCAACCTCATACCAATAATCAGTGTATAGATTAATTTTTATCTTGATATGCAAATGACGAAAATGAGAAAGTCATGCAGTCAGTTGCTGAAACCTCCTGACGAGTGGATAGAACGATTGCAAAAATGTTTGTCTACGAAACTATCGAGTCAAGGTGCTGGAGATAACCTAAGCAGCTAAGAGACACATTTTATTTGAATTAATCGGATATATATATATATATATATATATGTGTGTGTGTGTGTGTGTGTGTGTGTGTGTGTGTGTGTGTGTGTGTGTGTGTGTGTCACAGATTTAGGGGCTATAAATTTAATATGACCTAACGTAGTATTACGCGGCATTCGAGTATTAATTTATCTTTCAATGCGAGAAGGTGATTTTGGGTAGGCGACTTATGCTATGTTCCAACAGGATTACCTCCCTTCATGGCCAACGTGACCCAGGCGAGGTTAGCTGAGAACTTCCACGATTCTCTCACCACTAATAATTGACTTTTGATCTTTCTCAATATGACTCTCTTCAAATACTTACGTCTGTAGCGTAGTCGATAGGAAAACCAAGCAGCGGCCACACAACTCATAGAAGATCGACATCGCAGACTCAATGGCTAATCGGAATGTGACTCACCTAGTCAAGGAATTGATTACGGCTTTATTGATAAAACTTTTATAGTGAATGTTTCTATATTTTATATATACTGATTTTTCTATTGAACATCTTTGTATATATTGATACAAAAATATGTATTGAAAACAAGGACTGCATTTCCTGTTTAAAATGATGTAAAAACAAGAACATCTCTAGCTCAAGAACCCCTCGTCTAATTTGGCAATGCACTTTCAATTTCAAGGTACAATATGGTTTGCGATGCACCTTTTCGATGTCAAGGTATGTTGAAACTTGACGAATGCATGGAATAATAATACAACACACCTATTATTAATAGACTCTCCCACACATAATAAGTAGTAGTAGTATTAGCGGTCGCCAGTTGGGCTCAGTGGTGTTGAGTGAGTCAGTCGATGTCGGACATTGAAGTATCAACCATCACAACTAGATTGCTGAGTCATTAACTGTTGAAACTTGACTAATGCATGGAATAATAATGCAACACAAAATGTACTTAGAACAGAATGTATTGAAACAAGAAAGTGTACACAATATTTACATATAGTCTTTTGTATATTCTTGGTAAGACCGTTCCTGGAGAATGTGTTGACTTAGTCGCAGTCGGGCAGAGTCTCTGGATTGAATCTCCTGATTCCTCTCCTCGTCTTCCCGATACCAACCATATTTATATGGTCGGTACTCCACTATGCAAATTAGGTGGATCCTACCACAACAAGGTACAATACGGTTGAGTTTGGTTTGTTTTACGGTATATCAACTTCAATGGGTTATTTAATGCTTACATGACTTTTATTGCTGGTAATATTTTGTTTTCAAAAATGTATTGCTTGTAATAATTTTTCTTCAAAAATTTATTACTGGTAATAAATTTTTACACAGTATTTCTGGTATTAAAACCTATTTTACAATTTCATAGTGTTTTGACCCCAGTTTGGGGTTAATAATTTACCCATAGCTGGGACCCTAACAGGTGCTACCACCCCGGTAATGGTGAACCTGGGAACACCATCAATTAAGAAGGCGGTTCCGCGCTCCTCAAAGCCTCCTGATCAGAGGCTTTGCTGTTAGACGTAGTTTATCGTCAGACCCAGGACGCGAATGTAGTTTATTGTCTTACCCAAGATGTGGATGTAGTTTATCGTCTTACCCAGGACGCGGACGTAGTTTATCGTCATACCCAGGACGTGATACAATATGGTCCTAAATTTGTTTGGGTGTTATGTATCGTTGAAGCTGTATCTCGGAAAAAAACATACATACTGGATAAATGTTTTAGTATGATATAGATGGGAAAATATGATATATAAATTTCTATGTACCACGTTTCGTCCTCTAGAAGGTCTTCATCAGACTAAAGTAATGCTTTTGTTCATGGAATATATATATGTGTAGGAAGGACAGGGGAGATATAAAAACACAAACGTCTGTTATTATTATGCGCAGACAGGAAACTCTGAAAATTTTGTCTGAATTTCTTGGATTAGAAGTTAACATTATTGACACTATATATGTGGCTCCCCATATATATATATATATATATATATATATATATATATATATATATATATATATATCTTCCCTACTATTATTTCCCACTCTTCCTTTGGTATAATATTCTATAAGAAGAGTTGGGCAAATGAATATCAAATTAGAAAGAAATTCTGTGTGACGCGTTTCGTCCTCAAGAAGGACTTCATCAGACTAAAGTGATTTATTTTGTTGACGGAGTTATATATGAAGGGGAGGGGAGATATAAAAACACAAGCGTCCGTTATTGTTACGCACAGACAGGAAACGATGAAGATGTTGGAACGCTGACATTTTTTTTTTTAGACGTGTCTGGACATGTAACGTGGCCGATCTCATTCAGTTTCCTTGTGTTTTTGTTTTCATCCCTTTTATTATTACGTATCTCGCACCGTGATAATAGAAGATCAACCAAGAAAGAGGGAACGTTGTAAGAAACTGGACACACATTTACTCTTGATGATCTCGCGATCAAAGCACTTTCTATACACTTTGGCCTAGTAAATTACTTTCTCTTTTAATTAAAGCAACATTTTTTAAAATCGAAATTATGGTCAGA